GACATACTAAATTGATGGCTGTTTGTGGAAAAAAAAAAAAAAAAAAAAAAAAAAAATCTTTTCTCTCGTATAATGATCATAAATGCTTTTTGAGTATATTGGGCATTGAGGGTTAACATTTCCGAATTAATGATGATGGTGATATTTTATTAAACAATTCTCCAAAATGACCTAATGTTTTTTTTTTTTTTTTTTTTTTTAAACGGCAATAATTATATATTTTTCTCATTTTCTTGAGATTCAATCCAAAAGCTTCCCGTTAGTTGTTATTTTAAACCTTCATGTTAACCAAGTGAGCTAGTTATAAGTTGTGTCATATATATATATATATATATATATATATATATATATATATATATATATATATATATATATATATATATATATAAAATGAATCAATATTAAACATTTAAGCATTTGATAGAAAAAAAAAATACACGACCATCCATAACTTTAAGTATGAAACACAAATTTATGGTATCGTTTGTCGATGTCCTGATTATATATTAAAATGTTTATCTACATTCATTTCAACGCCTACGCTTTTTTGAGATCGTTATCTTCATGCATGCTTACCTTTTACAATTTTGCTTCCAAATACTTACCCTTATGCTTAGTTTTGTTGAATATATATATATATATATATATATATATATATATATATATATATATATATATATATGTGTGTGTGTGTGTGTGTGTGTGTATGTTGTTATCTGCATCCATGTTAATCTCTTTGCACGCATGCTTATCTTTTACAATTTTGCGTCCAGATACTTATCCTTATGCTTAAAATTTGTTTATATATTCATATGTGTTTATATTAATCATCGATCTAATCATACCATAGTTGTAACACCGTGTTCCGAATTGTTTCCTAATTCGGGGTCGTGACCCGGATATTAGTTATCATAAGGCTATGGGTCTTAAGGAAGGAGAGATTTAGACCCCTTTGATGTGGATAATGTAGATTAGGTGATCTGAGAGTTTTTTCTATTTGTTGGAGCCCAAAGGTATAACCGTAAAGTGATAATTCGGGCATTTTATATGTTTAGGAAGTTTTAAGGCGAAAGAGAGTTGATAGAATTGTAACGATTCTCATTACCTTTCCATGGATATAAAGAACATCGAAATGGGACGTCGAACGAAAAAGTTATGGCCTTCGGAAGTTTGGTGGTTTTACTCCATGGCCGAGTACGTTGGGTGTACGCTATAAGTACGTTGGGCATATAGGGTCGAAGTCTGGTTGCGGAGGAAACTAGCATACGCTGGGTGTATGTAGGAGTACGTAGGACGTACGCTCGGCTGGGGCAAACCCTAATTTTTAGGGTTTGTGCAATATTTAACCAACTTAAGTTGCCTTAGTAGTTTCTTATGACAAACCTCTATCTCTCAAAACCCTAAGGACGAAAACTTAGAATTCATTTGAGTGTTTGTGAGCCATTGTTGTGATGTTGTGGTGTTTTTAGATCCTTTGAAGGAGGTGAAGCTTTGGTGGACTTGGAGCATAAAGATCCAGACTCTTCATCAACTTTGCAATCTACTTGAGTTATAAAGCTCTTAACTTGATGGATCGGTTAGTTAGATCTAGTTAGGGCTTGTTCTTTTATGCTTTTATGGTCTTTTAAGCCATGCTTGAGAGTATGAGCTACTCCAGAAGCTAGGGATGGTAGATTTTGGCATTTTTTAGGTCCTTTGTTCATAAAAATATAATCTTGATGAGTTATTTTGGACCATGCATAAGTAGGGTTGTTATTATGGTTCTTTTTGAGTTTTGGGTCCCATTAGGCCATGAAAAGGTGTAATGTTGCCAACTTTATGTGTTAAGACATCATTTAGGATCATATATGAGAATTTGGCTTAGTGTCTTAACTATTTAAGCTCTTAATGGGGAGTTTGGGTGAGCTTACCCAACTCGTGAGTTGCGCATATTAGCCACGGAGGGAGTACGTTTGGGCATAAGCCTGAGTGCGTTGGGCGTACTCAGCTGCCATTGAATTTCGTTGACTTTTGCGTTTTGGGCCAAATTTAGACTATTAGGTTTTTGTGCCTTGTTGGGCCACTAGTCTTTCTGACTTTGGGCCATCATTAGACTTTGTGCCTTCTTGGATTGGGCCATGATGGGATTTCAGTATCATTCAGAAATTTGGGCCATATTGGGCTTTTGGTGCCTTTGGGTTGGGCCTCGGTTATTGGGCCAAGTGAGGAAATGGTAGAATGGTCTTTTACCCTGGGAGTTGGACAAATGAATCAAATTCCTAGTTATGGTTTATGGCCCAATTATTAATTGTTGTTTTATTTGATTGGTTAGCGCTGGGATTATCCGGATCAACAATCCAAGCATTTATCTAATTTTCAACGGTTTGAGGTAAGTTACCTTAGTGTTCTTGGCGGGTCGAAGGCACCAATGTCGGCCCATGGTTTATTATGATTAAGATGCTAGTAGTTTGTATGAATTGTGTATGTATTGTTGGGTTATTTAATGTGTTGTGTCAAATTTACTATGTATGTATTTAGCCTTTACTAAACGGATTGGGCCTATCCATCCACATTTATGCTGCTAGGGTTAGGCTATAAATAGAGCATGCATATATCATAGTAGGGTTAATCGTCTTTATGATTCCCTACACTGTCTTTACAGAAAAGTTCAAGTCGAACTCTTCTAAGGCATTTATTATTATTCATTCAGCACAACTTCGATCATTGCTCTTATTGTTTTGATTCCTTTACTATTTCGAATCTATCGATCTATTATTTATGATTTCATCAATTGGTATCATACCATGAGATTGTGTGACTCATAACCAATTTTTTGTCGAGTGTAATTAGGGTTTTCCGTTTTTGGTGGATCTTTTCATGTCATCTTCATCGTTTTCATCGATTGTAGATGTTTAATCTGGGTCCTTATCTTGCCCTAAACTCGATTATTGTTTTACACATCCGATTCTAAATAGGTTTTTTGTGAATCGACATCATGCAAACGAAAGCTCCTCGTACTCTTTCCTTCAATTGGTCCAACAACATTGAATTTACTACCAGAATCCCAATCCTTTTTCCGCAAGATTACGAAGTATGGGCGTTGCACATCGAAGACTACATTATGGGTATTCAAGGACATGGAACCTTGATATGGGAAGTAATAACCTAGTATATGTTTTCTCACACTGTAACAAGGAAAATCATCAAAACTCAAGCTGAATACAATGCTCTTCTCATTGAGCACACGAACATTCCTCAAGATGAAAATGAAAAGTTAATAAGTAACTGATGAATCAAAGAATCAAGTATAGATTGAATTATAGAGTTAATTCAAAGTAAGTATGCGAGATTTGAACACCGATGTAAATATGATCTATTTGGCTCTATTACGCTTTTTCTAAGTTTACAGAGTACAATCAATATTCTGTAAAGACTTCGTTACTAAGATAATAGTAACTTCTCCTATTTATAGGAGAGGAAAGCGAACAAAAAATATACTAAGGACTAAAACATTATGCTTCGAATATTATGCCTTAGTAAAATAAAAATACAGAAAGGTTCGAAGACCCTAAATACAAACTTCGACTATTACAACACTTTGACCCTAACAATCTCCCCCTTTGTAATAAAAGTTGAAGTCTTCAGTTTATAAGTAGAGTGATGGAGTAAAGCAAAACTCTTCGAACTTCAGTGTACCAAGAAATAATCTTCTTCATTCCTTCTTATCGCCTTCATTATTCTTTTTACAGTGGTTCATACGAAAAATTAAATTCGTATATTTAGATGTTGAATATCTCTCCACTTCGCTGGCTTGAAACAAAAATCTCTTCGCTTTTCTAGCTTTATCCTTCCCAGCTAAAACAATTCCAAATGGCTTTAAACATATTTCTCCATCTACAAACTTCTTTAACTCAGCCAGAGTCAATGAAGGAGCCATTGGAACTTTAACTTCCATTTCCTTCGCAGTTGCCAGCTCCACATCAGTTAGTGCAAGGCACTCATAATAGTTTTCAATGAAAATTTTGATTTGAGCAACTCCAAGTTTGAATTCTTCAGGATCAGTATTTTGCAAATATGAGAAAGATTTTTGTTTAAGAAGCAATGCAATTTGTATAAGATCATACAAGTTCATTAGAGGAAAGTCAGCAATGGTGAATTTGCATGTTTTACCATTTTCCCTGGTCACAATGTATTTTACATTTTGAACAATATTTTCGAAGACCACATATTTCTTCATGCTAATCACCTTTTTAATCTTGATTAGTGACCAGACTTCCTCAGGTGTTTTACCCAGAACCGCATGAAATCAAATCTTCATATGGGTTCCTTCATCCTTTTCTTTGAAATTCCCTTCTGCTTTAAATTGAGGCAAGATGAACATCATCTCATTTACATGGAAATCCAACTGGCAAGCATCAGTGTTTGTAACCACAAAACTCTGTTTTGGCTTCTTTTCAAATGAGTACATGTGGTTAAAGGCAACCAAGGCTTCGATTGTTTCATAATTGTAATGCTTAGCTGGATCACCTTTATTCATACCCTTCGGATCTTCAGCCCTCTGAGTCATGATGCTTTGAACAAGCCTCATTCTCTCGAGTTCAGCTTCAGCTTCAGCCTTCTTTTCTTCCTTGGACTTTTCAATTAAAATTTATTTGCCTTTGTCTTTCAAAGCATTTTTTTTTTCAGTTAAGTCTTTTGGCTTCGAACCACTCCCACCAGACTCCAAAGGTTTACCAATAACAATTCCTTTCGAAATTGTTTGTGTAGTTGGCAATGTTGTAACAATTGTTGAAGTCACTGGTTGAGCAGATACAAACACTGGCTTCGTTGATGGGATGTTCGAAGAAAATACCTTGCCCATAACTTTCGCTTCTTCTTCTGTGGACTTCCTTTCTCCCCCTTGCACCCCTGTGAAAACAGGAGGGGCAGCTGTTGTGGGAAGAAGACTAGATATGCTAAAGAATGGAACAAGTTGCTTGTTTAGAATAGCTTCGAACTGTACAAATTTTTGTGACAAAAATTCAGGAGTGATCAAGGGAGACGAAACTGGTTTTGTGGATATCTCTTTCAACTCTTTCAACAGCTTCATCACTCCTTCAAAATTTTCAGTTTCAGACATGGAGATTTGAGCAATTTGTGGACTCAAACCTTTGTACATTTTGACAAATTTAGTCACTGCATCACATATGATATCGACCTTCTGATGTAAAGACACATAATCATGTTGAATAGATAAAATTTCTTTGTTCATTTCTTCATGAAGCTCTTGGATTTTCAAATTCACATCCTCTCTCACCTTCTTAACCTCCTGAACAAAAAGAACATGTCGTTCTTTTGCTACGCTTCGTAAATCTTTCACTTCTCCCAGAAAATCAGATCTTTGATTTTTAAGACGAAGCTCATTTGTTTGATCTGAATAATCAACCTTCTCCATAAGCACTGTCTCCGAAGCGTTCAACATACCTGACACTTTCGCAATTATTCTTGAATCACACATCTTTAACATTGAATCAACCTCCAAACTGGAAATTGATGAACCCCCTCCAAGATCAACTTGGGATTGAATAATGGAGTTCAAATTTTGATTCAAAATTTTGTATCATTTCATGATCATGAGCATGTGATCAGGGAAATCTTCTTCTTCGTCATGAAATTCCAAATCTTCAAATGTCCCTCCAAACCCTTCATGATCTGTTTCAGTGGGTGAAGTTGGTTTGGTGGTATCAGTTGATTGAGAGAAGAACATGGAAGTGATTGGTTGATTGAGGATGTGTTCAAAGATTGGAGAGATAGTAGTTGAAGTAAGAGGAATGGTTGATGTCGGTGTAATAGAAGCGAATGATTCAAAAGGAGTAGAGATAAATGGACCTTGATCTGCATCCTTCGAAACATTTTCACCCAAGCCTGAAGTTCTTACCTCCTCAAAAATTGACTAGGTAATCGAAACTTCAGGGGTGAATATGATAGTGGTCTCTGGAATTGAGCTTGTAAGAATAGAGGTGACTTCTGGAGTATCTGGTACGCGTTCATCCTCTTCAGTAGACTCACTTGATGAAACAATCTTCCTAGCCTTCTTCGTCTTCTTCTTCTTTGGTTGGGATAAATGTTTCGCCATATCTTCTGCTGCTCGTTTCTTGGATGCGGGAGAAATAGGAACATAAACCTCACGAAACATTACTCCTTGATGAGAAAGTTGAGGTTTACTAAGCAGTTTCTAAGATGAAGACTTGCGTTTATGCTTGGATTTCATCTTTATTCCTCAAAACATCCCTTTTTTCGAAGGAATAACCACATTTTCTTGTGACTCTTCCACTACTGGCGTAATCACTTTCGTTGCTTCGACTGTCACAACAACATTGTCTAGCTTCTGCTTTGTGGATTTGGATGAGGTTGAGCCCTTCGCTTTCTTCTCAGGAGAGGTAGGCTCATCTTTCTTTGACTTCTTAGTCTTCTTTGCTTTGCGTGGTAATAAAATTCCCGTAGGTATAGAAGAATCGAAGGTTTTTAAATACGCCTGCAAGACATGATTCAAAGGATCCACTCTTTTAAGCATTGCATCGGAAATCTGAGCAACACTTGGAAATTCGTCAGTATCATCAACGACCTCCTTTGGAAAATGATAAGACTGAAAAGTAACCTTTTCTTCTTGATTAGAAACCAGGATACCTTCCTTGTTGTAGAAATGTTGTAAAATAAGACTCCAGTATCGAGCACACGAAATGTCATGAACAACATTCGTGTGTTCTACCCCTTTCTGGAACTCCTGCCATAGCTGTGTTGAATAATCAGTATGAAGATCATAATACAGACCAGCCACCATGGCATATATCTCCATTCTTCCTTTATCCAAGTCAACTGTTCTTCTGGTTAAACAGCGCAAAAATATTCCAAACAAAAAATTCCATAGTTTTGGAAGACCAGACTTCTTAAAATCACAGATCTTTGAAAATGGGGGCTGATATCCCATTTCATTAAACATATGAATGATCTGAGAGAATTGAAACTCAAGAAACGGAGGTGTATTTGGAATATCAAGAATCTGGCAAAACAGTTTCTTGGAAAGCCTAACCTTTTTATCATTGATTAAAAGAAAGGTAATCGAATCAGTGGCTTGATTGTATGTAGCTGTAGATCCTGCTTGAGAAAGCCAGGATAACGGGACAGAAAAATAGTTGAACATTGCTTTCGATAAAACAGAGTGTTTTAACGTAACAATTAGCATCTTGAATTCCTCCGGACACTGCGAAAGTTCACCATTTACATAATAGTTGGTAGATTGAATCTTCATAACTGGTACTGAGGATGTATCTTCGGTGGAAGCATCAACATGAGAAGTAGTCTCCATTGTTAGGGTTTGAAGAAGATGAAGAACAGAGAATTTTGGGAATTTTGGAGTGTTTGATCGCGTAAACATATAATGTACTCTAAACCCCCTTTTATATGTAACGCTGGATGATTTGAATTTGAAGCGGGATGCATTTAATGAGATCCGACGTGGCACCTTGAAAATCAGACCAGTTCGGCGGAAAGTTAGCCATGCGTTAAAAAGTGTCTGTCACATCTCCTAGAAAACCGGGTTGAATACCATACGTCACGGTTATACAGCCTGTCACTATCCCATTTATTGAATAGTAACCGTTAGAGCCCTTCGAATGGAGGCAAGGCTCTTTCAATTTTGGGATGAAAATCGAATTCATATGCCAGATGTTCGAAATCATTAGTCTGAGTTGGTATTACTCAGAACCTCAAGGATTTCGTGTGTGTAGTGTGCCAAAGAAAGATTAGACAAGAAACAATTAAAAAAAATTGGAATGTAGTGATGTCAAAAATGCAATTTCACACGAATGCAGTTAAACCCCGGGCAAAGGTTGCTTTGTTTATCATCAAGAGAGATGATCAACAACTTGTGTATGTTCCCGTGAAGTACAATCGACTACCTTTTGATAAGCATCAAATGGCTTCTTTTAAAAGTAATTATTGGGTTGGTTTAAAATTTCGTTACATGTCAACCTAAACATAAGGTGATAAATTTAACAGAAATTACTTGTTTGACCAGTGTAGTCAGTGACAAGTTGGCTTTGAAAAATATGATCATGACAAGGATATTTGAATGAACCTCACACTGAAATCATATTCATGAAAAAAGTTTGTGTGCTGGATCTTGTTGGGTAACAAACATCTTGGGTTTCGAATGTTTGATCAAGCCCACGCATTCGAAATGAATATGATTTGGAGTTTCAAATTTTGGTATGGAATCAAAAGTTTCGTTAATATCTGGAACAATGTTCCCCATCAATTCCTTAAGTTTCAAGATGTTTGGGATTCACTTTCATCACGGACTCATGATGTCAGTCATTAACACATAATTTTTATATATCTAGGTCTCGATGGGTTTGATCAGAGACCTCTCGGACATACGTCTTTGTGCGTGATTGTGTAAGAATGTATTGATAAAAAAGATTGGTGTAAGAGACGAAAAGTACCTCTGTTATGTTTTGGACTAAACAGAAAACTCTTAACTCATTGTGGGAAGAGTAAGGTAGCTCATAGACTACTGTGAATATAAGCCTGATTGGGAATAATTTTTCGTATAAAAAATTTCAGTAAGGCTTTCGTACACACACATTGAGTCATGGAGGTTTTGGTTGACATGCAGCAGCATGCTTTTAGGGACAACCTAACTAATTCGAATAATGAATAAGATAGTGATGCATACGAAAAAAAATTACCTATCCCCAATACTGCCTCCTTTTTCCCTTCCAAATCATCAGCAAAGGCTGTAACAAAATTTAAAAATATTTTTTTTTGTTTTTGAATTTTTCGAAAATTAAGACAAAAAAATGAAAATCTTTTTGTATTTTTGATTTTTCGAAAATTTAAAGACAAAACAAAGGAAAATCTTTTTGGATTTTTGATTTTTCAAAAATTTAAAGACAAAACAAAAAAAATCTTTTTGGATTTTTGATTTGTCGAAAATTTAAAGACAAAGCAAAAAAAATCTTTTTGGATTTCTAATTTTTCGAAAATATAAAAGCAAAAGAAAATCTTTTTGTGTTTTTGATTTGTTGCAAACAAACAAATATTTGACATTCTTTGAAAAGTAAAAAATGTACAAATTCGAAGCTTTCGAAGCGTTGACTATGAATAGTAACCACTAATTGAACGCTAAAGATTAGTGACAATCATGCGAATTCGAAGCGGTCGAAGCGTTGAATATGAACAGTAATCGCTGATTCAACGCTAAAGATTAGTGACAATCATGCGAATTCGAAGCGGTCGAAGCATTGACTATGAACAGTAACCGCTGAATGCTAAATAACTTTGTTCATTGCCTTTGACTCATTATTTTTCACTTAGTATTCGTCTTTGTCGCATGGAACAGAATTTCCATCGATCATTCCAAGACCTTCTATTATTCACACTTCTTGAAATCGGCCTAGCCCTCTTGTTTTCTTAGTGTCGCGGATTTTGGCGGAGAATGAGATCCTTATATAGTGTTGACACATCTAGGGTTATACCATGTAAACCCTAATGTGTCATGACTCTTCATTTCCATGACCCATGGGTTTGTAACTCCCATGGAGCATCCATGGAGCATCCTATGGGTAGAACCCAACTTGATAATCCATGGAGCCTCTTAGCCCACTATACAAGATATGGATGATTTACATAATCAACCCATATATTTAATTAGTTCTTTTTTGATCACTTAATTAATTCTAAATTAATTATTGATCAAAATAATCAAATAATATTATTAATATATTAGAACTTATAATATATTAATAATCTCCAAGTGTTATTTCTCTCATTTAGTCTATCCAATTGCATGGTGCCATGCAACCCAAATGGACCATGCCGGGTCGGGTCAAGTACATACCAGAAATAGTTATGGACTTAGACACCTTATCCAACAGTCTCCCACTTGGATAAGTCAATTAACTATTACTGCAAGTATGACTTCAGGAACCGATCGGTAATCGTAGCTCTTTTCAAGGTTTCTCGGAACTGAGAAGATGATGGTACGCCATTTAAGATAAGTGATCATATAATCCTCTATTCTTAGATATCAGTCGGACAAATACATGGAACAATGTCTTACTTATTGTCCAACAGTTTGTTTCCCGATTTCCGATTTGTTTGACAAAGAACTTAATTGAACACATCAACTTAGTTCTAACCGGGCCCGGTACATGGGTCAAAACAAAATCATCGAGGGGCCCAGATATCAGCTTCTAATCCAAGAAGGAACAGATAAACTTCGACTCATATGTTTGTTCTACCACTCATTGAATTACAAACAAGAGCACGATTTATAACATCGAGTTACCAATGCGTTTTCGTACAGTCAATGCATAATCAACTTGTAAGTAACAAATCATATCTCTAGGTTTGAAGACTTATACGCTATTACCGTCTCACGATCACTCGAGATAGAATTCCATGAAGTGATTCCAGTGA